TCAAATCAATTTATATTATATTAGACAATGGAACTCCGAACTGATGAAATACACCACGAAACATTTTCAACCACCTTCGAAGAAACATTTTTAAAATAACAAAAAATTCCATATTCTTTTCTAAAAACCGGTGATGACGTCATACCCAAAGATATGTCATTCTGTTTGTTGAGATATGAAAGAAATAATAATCAAAATCAGAAATAAATATGTCTGACAAGATTGTTTACTTAGCGAATGATGAATTTATGTGGTATTTCAAGGGCATAGCGTCATATATCATTGTTATGGAGACAAACAATATAGGGTGAATTTCTGTCGAAACATAAGTCCCCAATGTAAAATATGTGAATATTTCATCTCAGTTTTCTTCTTGTGGTATGAAAGCGTTGCAAAAATGGATTTGAGACACACTGCACGAGTTCGACTAGAGTCGAATAATACAGATTTTACAAACATCAAAATATAGGTAAAACCTATTTGCATATTTTTAATTATAAATAATGTCAACTTTTCAATTAGGGTGAACTTGTATACTGTTACTGTACTACTACTAAATATTCATTGAAAATTATCTGAAAATGAATTGGAAAAAAAATTGACCAATAAAAAAACTGCTGCGATTTTGCTTGTTTCGTTCATGAGTGGTATCTTGGTATCTACCATAATTTTCCAGTTCGATCGAGATGTCCTTCGATTCGTAATTAAACAAACAGGTTCACATGAAAAACTCAATGATTTTTATCCACGGTAATTATAATATAATGTACCTACCCATTATACGTCTGTTTATTGGATCATTAATCACGGCAGTGAATCACTACTGTCAGATCTTTCTTGATTCATCTTATTATATTGTTTTGATACACACAATTGGTTTTTGAAATTTTATCGTGTAAACCGCAAAATATTTTCAATTCAGTTTTGTACCTACATATAGAAAAAGTAAAATGGTGAATTATCTTTGAATGTGCGTGTCATATCTATTTCTGAATATACGATTTCATACATCGAAATAGCTTTTGAAACAAAACAAACCTATCAACATTATTGTTTCTGTGCGTAGATTTTTCAGTGTTTTGATATTCTGTGTTGAATTGTGTTAAAAAACGAACTGAAAATAAATATAGAAAATGAAAATGACTTTTCTTCAATACCACCAAAAATTAAAGAAGCTGTTAAAGTTGCCTCACTGACTTTATTGCCGGAAACCAGTGAAGCGGAAATGGAAAGCAGAGACCCACACAGCACTAGATATTCATGGAATATTCCCTGTATATCATAAAACGAACGTATATTAATCATAATGTAAAAAATATTGCAGTTGATATCAATTTATTCCCAAATATAAATGATATTGCATATTGAAGTATCAATTTGACATTGTCAATCAGTGTCACTTTTTAGTGTATTGGGCACCTCTGTGAATGAGAGGATTCTTTATTATTTCTTTATCAAGAATGCCGTATGTCCAGAGTTTTTGACAAAATATTCTACATGAAGAAGGGTCCCAAGTAATCATGCCAGAGTTTTTTTAAGCATCGTGAATAGTCGTAATGATTCGAGACAAGGATGTGCGTATTCGAGCGCACGTTGTCAATGTAAGGATACCTTTCAGAAATTAATTATCTAACATCACGGTAGGTACATTCGGTATTAACTGAGAGTGAGAGAATTTCAAGAATGCAAACACACCAGTACATCAAAGAAAGCAAGATACTTGTCTCAAGCAAGTGGCACTGCAATGTATGCATTCATTCACAAAGTCACTGAGATATTTCTACCCGCTATGCCACTTGAGGAAGCCGCTAAGGAGCCATTAGAATAGTGACTTGCCACAAAGAACTTCAAAAGAGGCGGCCATGGTCTGCCGCGGTCTATAGGTTTTTATACCTGACGTTTCTTCTGCTACTGCGACATACATTATCAAAAGCGATGTGGCAACGATGGAAGTGATCTGCCTTGTTGCGATGCGTAAACTGAAAATGAAAAAATCCTCAACAAACCTGAAGTTACAGCCGTATTCAAGCCCACAAGAGCGATAGAGAAGTTTCAGGTCAGCAGAAGAATTCTGGAATTCATTGAGTACCCCAAGAGTATGCAGAATATCGTGCAGCTATGGTTCGTTTTTGACTGAGTATGAAATAAGTTGCCGTTATGGTCGAACAAATAAATTAGCAGTTGCAGAACATGCCCTCTCAGGGGAGAGCCATGATATTGCCTTTGAACTCACGGAAGTTGTTGATAAGATCAGAGATTACTATTCGAGACCATTCAGAGAGGCCATATAAATGAATAAACATTAGACTGACTTTAATTGTAAGGAAGTGAGCTCAAACATCAACAAGAGATGGATACCGGCACTTCATAACAGAAAGATTCCTCCTATAATTGAAGAAGGGTCAGACCAATCAGGTACATGAAATGAATATTACTGGAGTTTTTTCCCAACACCAAATAGTTATGTTTAACACCTCGGCACGTATTTCGATCACCAAGTGATCATCTACAAAGATGAATATTAAACTAGAAACTAACGCGAAGCTCGCTATTCATGCTATATAGATATCCCATACAGGTAAACCATCCAGGTGTACCACCCTTACAGTTATACAAAACTAAATTAATTTCACAATTTTGCCTCATATATTATTTTACAATATATGTTTAACTGTTATAGCTGTATATAAAACCATTTTCAGTTATATAAAAATTAATTTCACAATATTGCCTATCTAAATTTATTTTTGCAATGTGTCCTTATATAGCAATCAGTAAACCCAACAATATTATTTTAACAAGCTATATAGTATGCTCTTTGGTATAGGTCCGTCATCGTTATTCATAATATCATTGTGTTTATTTATTTTTACACTCTAATTGGCATCTAGTTGCCTGTTGTTGTTAACTTGTCTAACTAATCTTAATGAACTGAAGTTTATGGAATGGTTTTGTTGCAAAATATGATGGGCGACTGCTGATTTTTCAGGTCTTCCATATTTTGAGTGTGCTATGTGTTCCTTATATCTTACTCTAATATATATTTTTGTCTGTACATAATATTTTGCATCGCAGTCCTTACATTCAATTTCGTAAATTCCAGACTTTTCCGAATTCTCGACTTCGTCTTTTGGACTTTCCAAAAGGCTTTGTAGTGTATGACTTGTTTTAAAAACCACCTTCATACCTAGTTCATTGAAAATATTTCCAAAGTTCTTCGTATATTGGTGGTATGGAACTGAGATGTATTTATCTTGGTTTTTGTCCTTTCTGAAAGTAGAGATTTCGTTCATTCTCAACCTAAACTTCTTCTTCGTTATTATGTCATCTGCAATACCCCTTGAGAAACCGTTAGTGGCTGCTATTTCCTGTATTGTACGTCTTTCTTTTGTGAACCTATCATGTGTTAGAGGGAAAGTCAAAAGACGATGCACTAAAAAATTCAACCCAGCACGTTTGTGCTGTCCACAGTGATACATGCTTGTTTCTTTTCTAAATATATCATTTTCTAACCCTCCATATTGGCTCCTCATTACCAAAACTTCAAGATATGGTAGTTGTCCCTCATTTTCTAACTCATACGTGAATTTTATTGATGGACATCTATTATTCAAAATGGAAACAAAGTCCTCAATATTCGATTTTTTAGTATCGAATATCGCGGAAATATCATCCACATACTTTAGCCAAATCCTAGTGAAATCCTGAAAAATCAGCAGTTGCCCATCATATTTTGCAACAAAACCATTCCATAGACTTCAGTTCTTTAAGATTAGTTAGACAAGTTAATAACAACAGATTTTCCTCTACGTCGGCATGTGTGGCCAGAAATCTGTGGATAACTTCACGCCAATTGTAAAATAATAGATAAGGCAAAATTGTAAAATTAATTCAGGTTGGTATACCTGTATGGGTGGTAAATCTGGATGGTTTACCTGTATGGTATATCTATACAGCATAAATAGCGTTAGCTTCGCGTTAATTTCTAGTTTAATCTTCCTCTTTGAGGATGATCACTTGGTGATCGAAACACGTGTCGAGGTGTTAGAAATAACGATTTGGTGTTGAGAAAAAACTCCAGTAATATTCATTACTACACCGAAGGTTCCAAACAGTGTATGATAAGTACAGGTACAAGAGCTTTAAAAATACAAAGGCATCAAATTGCGCAGCAAGGTGAATCCCTTTGACCATTACCGCATAGCCTTTTATAACATCTGCCGCAGTAACAGACGAAACGTCAGGCATAGAAACCTGCAGGCTACGGCTAATAAACTCGGAAACATGGTACAATTTCAAAGATCTTTATCACCTCTGTTTTTTTTAGTCCGTGAAAGGGGAAAAATTATCACTAAAACTTCAGTCAGAAAATTCACATCAATTCATTATACTCTAAGCTCTAAGAAAACTATATTTTCTGAAAATTTTGTTGTTTTTCAATCAATCATTGAATTTTGAACTTTTTTTCATTAGAGCAAAACCTAATAAAAAATTTGACTATCACAGTTACTAAAAATATAAATATACATCATCAATTCATTATACTCTAAGCTCTAAGGAAACTATATTATCTGGAAATTTTGTTGTTTTTCAATCATTGAATTTTGAACTTTTTTTCATTAGAGCAAAACCTAATAAAAAATTTGACTATCACAGTTACTAAAAATATAAATATAACCAAAGCTGAGCTTAACACAGCAATCACATCTAATAATAAATATTCTATCCAGGAGACATCAGCGGTGGGACTTCTAAGATGTTTCGTCCCTTTATGCCTGATGACGTACTCGATCCACCACATTGCCCTATCCATAGAAGTCATTGGCTGGTCCACCCATAGTGATTGTAGTTTCTTCATATTTTGTCTGTACCTGCAATCACATAAAGTTTTTACTTCTTGTAAGATGGAATCTGAGCATATTTCGAGGAATCTCAAAGAAAAAGGGAGAATTGTATTTGGTATTTATATTGTTCTAGTCACGATTTATTCAAGAAGAATAAGATGGCGCCAAGCTATTCATCATAAGTTGAAAAATACAACTTTTTTAAACATGAAACCAAGAATACTGCATCCTACTTCTAGTTCTGTATCACAAATTTATGCAAACCATAGTTATGGTTTACATAAATTGCATAATTGTGGTGGATGAAAACGTTTATCATTTTCATTATTTTTAAATTAGAGAACGGACGGTAGCCGGACGGTTCAACGTTGGTGGCTTATTCTCTCACTCAAATCAACCGCCGTGTTGGTCGCTGGTTCAAGCCCCAGGCTGAACGATCGATTTTCACGTGCTATCGTCCAACCCGTGTTAGGAATCACACGTTAAAAGGTAAGACCTCGTTAGTCCTTGGCTCGCACAAGTTTCGACTTCTGAGGGTTGTCGTTCGTAGGGGTGCGATTGCTGGTTAACGGAAAAACAGATTTTAAACAGACACACAGACAGAAGTTCTTATTCACAGAAGTAATTCCGAATATAATACTTCTGTACAATATCCACCATCTTCATGTCTATAAAATCCAGTGACCGATTATTGAAAGAAGAATTAGTTCATTAGTCCGAAGCATTGAGCCTTTCATCATCCTTGTGAAAAAAATACGTCCGAGAAAGAGTATTCACAATACAATTAGAGTACAGTAAGAATTAAATTTTGTCTTGTCTACAGTATATCTAGCCAGTTATTTTTGTCATCCTATCTTTTTGTGTGCATTAAGCATTCATTCTCACGATAAAATAATCATGGGTCAAAACAACTTCTGAGAATTACTTGTGGATGACCAGCTAATTGACGGTGGAAATAATTTTGAAAAGATTCTCACCATGATTATTGATTGAACCATACTTAACCAGTTCAGTTAATAGTAAGAACTTAATATACATGACTATAATAATCATACTTGGGATTATCTATAATCTCCCTAACAGCATCCACGATTTCTTCTTTAGTGACTGTAACAAAATCCACCCCAACTGCCACTTCCAATTGAATCAGTCGTTTCATATTCATTTCTTGGTCACAAATGAAAGGTATTCCCAATATTGGAACACCTCGAGAAATTGCTTCTTCTGACGATTGCAAACCACCTTGACTGATGAACACTTTGATATTTGGATGTGCTGAAAAATGAATTTGTTGAGTCTCATCAAACGATTGAAAGTTAATACCCTCACCCAAAATATCTTGTTGTGGAAGCCACTTCCTGATATACACATTATGTGATTTGTTAACCAAGTTATCAGATTCATACTTCCAGAGCACTTTATATGGTAAGTCTGCGAAAGCCTCCATCAAAGTGTCTCTTACCCTATCAGAAATATTGACACTCTTGACATTTGAACCCAAACTGAAATAGATTACTCCCTCATCTGCCTCATCAAGGAACTCTTTCAAATCCTGGAGAGAAAATAAAGTAAAAAGTTTATGAAAAGTTAGTCTGCTAGAACATGAAAATCAATATCGGAAATCTATCACTGAAATAAGTCAATTCATGAAAATAAATGGATGATTATAAAACAAGCACTATATCCAAACACTCTAATTGCAACACTTCTCTCGATGCCAACCAAATTGGCGTTTTCATAAAATGAAATAGACTTATTCTCAACATCAGAGCTGGTCTCTATTCATATATTATAACAGATTACAATTTCACTTTCAGACACACATTGATTATTTCAATTCTTCATTTTCATTCTTCCGGAAGGAAGGTGTGTCTGTTGAATAAGAGTTTGAAATTTGGTTTGAAAACTTTGAGCGAAGTCTTGAAAGATGTCTTACAAAAAAAACGAAAAAAATATCATAAAATGGCTGAAAGATGAAGATATGTTTTTAATGTGAAGGCAGACAAAAGCAATGCAATAAAATTGTGAGATTGTCAGATTGCTGGGAAAGAATTGATAATTTGATTGGGAACGGACCCTATAATCAATTATAGAGGAATTCTCTGCCTCAGATGGTTAAGGAAGTGAAAAATACACTCATAAGTCTACAAGTTTATAATCCTACAGTTTCCGTCTACCAAAAATTCACAAGCCTGGCAAGTCGGTGAAACCAATTATTTCCGCTATAAGAAGGACTACTTATAAAATTGTTGATGGCTAACTAAACAACTGGAAACTTTCTCATTCTCACAATTTTTGTTGATTCACATGAATTCATGAAGATGGAGAGATTTCAGTATCATTTAATGTATCCTCGTTATTTCCAAGTGTACCTATACCAAAAACTATTAAATTTTGAGGGACATTTTGAGGGGATATTTGACACGAAGAAATTCAAGCTAAATAACTTTGTTTCGACTCTCAACAGATTCCTAAATACGAAGGTCATATATAAAACTGATAACAATGAGTAGTTACCATTCTTGGATGATAGAAGTTACCAGGCTCTAAAATTTTATGTCTATAAGAGGAATGCCAGTTCTTTAAGATGTATTCCTGATAGTTCACACCATTATACACTAGACAAAATTGAAGGACTGAACTTTTTTGCGCATTGTTACATTCCCTTTGATTGAAGAAAGATACGATATTGAAAAAAATGTCAGGGACATATATGAAAACAATTTTATCCAAATATAGTTGATGAGTCAATCAGGAAACGTATTTTTAGAAAGTATCATCGCAAATTGAATTAATATTTTAAAAAATATTGATTCAAAGTGCATTGTCCTGCCTGCTCAATTCAACAAATATTGGATAATCATAGGGACACGATATTGGAAAATACATATATGGGTTATATATGAAATAAGCTATGAGGACAGTGATGAAAAATATACCGGTCAGACCAAGCACGCTATTTGAAACTCGTTTCAAGGAACATGCAGACCATATCCAAAAAAATCTAGTGTCACTCTATATACTTCCAAGAACGATCATATATTAAATAAAAAATAAAAAATTTTATCCTGTGAACCGCGAAATATGTTCAATTCAGTTTTGTACCTACATATAAAAAAAGTAAAATAGTGAATTATCTTTGAATGTGCGTGTCATATCTGTTTTTGAATATACGATTTCATATATCGAAATAGCTTTTGAAACAAAACAAATTTGACTCAAACCTGTCAACATCATTGTTTCTGTGCGTAGATTTTTCAGTGTTTTGATATTCTGTGTTGAATTGTGTTAAGAAACGAACTGAAAATGAATACAGAAAATGAAAATGACTATTCTTCAATACCACCACAAATTAAAGAAGCTGCTAAAGTTGCCTCACTGAATTTATTACCGGAAACCAGTGAAGCGGAAATGGAAAGCAGAGATAAGTGAAAGTACTCGAATGGCCCATAAATAGTCATCTCTTGGAGGAATTATTCCGCTCAAAACCGTTCTAATGCCCATAATACTGTACTCCTGCACTGCCTGAGGACAGTGCACACAGATAAACAGGAAAAAGATCAGTCGTTCATGAACGCGAGCGTAAAGGCCGCCGTGAACGCACCGTACTATATCCCCAACAGATTTATATACAGAGACTTAGACCTGGACACGCAATATGTGGACGTGTATATGAGAGAACACGCTGAAAGCGTGTTCGATAGAATCAGATCGCACAACAACCCATCGCTACGCGATCTACACAATGCGTTGAATATGGATGACCCCAGATTCCGAGAAAGGGACAAACACCCAAGGCCGACAAAAAAAATCTACGACCGCCCCTACGAGTCGCCGTTAGGCGACTCCGGTGAGCATATCAATCAGACTTTCTTTCAGCAAGTTCACCGCAGAACAACTCGACCGCGATTCAAATATCCTTGGATTCACTGAGGAATGCCCGACGCAAGCAACAACAGCCGCCGGTTAGTTTTTGGGGCCTCCATGCAAAAATTCAGTTAGGAATAGTCACGACAAAATAATTCAACCAATCAGAAAGAATAGCACCTAAAAGATGGCTTTCGACCAAAAGAGGTCAGATGTCAATCTTGCTGAAGTGCCCATCAGTAAGTTGAGGACCGCTCGGAGAGCAGGTTGAGCAGTGGATGGAGTGGGGTAGTAGGCTCGCCTCGCTAACTAGCTGGGGGGGAAGCTTCTACTTCAGGGCACTCAACCCGGGAGGGGGCATGGGGGGGCGAATAAGTCGGAGGAATAAGTCCAGTCATCACCCGAAGACGATTGTGGATACTAACAATCGAAACATCGTGAAGTTACTTGGCTTGAAATCTCTCAACTTTTTTATTTTAACTTTTTGTTCAATTGTTCTATTTTCACTTGTATTTCATTTCACTATTATTTCATCTCAGGTTTTTTGCTTAATATAATTGTTTTTTCAGCTATTCATTTTTATTCTTCTTCTTTAATTTTCAATTCTTCTCTTTCAGTTATTTCAGGGATTTCAATGAAAGTCCTAACTGATGAAATTCACCTCGATACCATCTCCATCTCTCTTTGCATCGATAACGTCACACGTATCTCTCTCAAAATTACACACACACCTTTTGTAAAACATCAATTCTTCTCCAAATCTAAGGATATTTCTCTATTTTTCACATGAAAATGCCTTCACTAAAATTCTACAGAAATCAAGAAATGAGGTTAAGTATAGAGAATGAGTCAATTTCGGTCTCGACAAAGCAACCGCCATAAAAATCAACAATTCATAATCACTTCCAATATCCTACGTTAGTGTCGAAGCTGAGTACAAAACCTACCACACCGACGATCTGGGTTCGATTCACATACCGATACACTTTTTTGATTTAATTTCACTCAGCTGCCGATGAACACTAAGACCACGTAACTGGTACGTGACGAAGGGGCCGGAGGGGTGAGGCGGAATCCCAAGGGGGCCCAAGTTCAGGCTCTCCTCTTTGAATCTCTCCGATACTCATTCCATCCTTTCCTGCATCGATTACGTCACACGTTTTCCTCTTCTACTCACTAAAGTATTTCTCTGAAACACAAACCAACGACGTGTGACCTAGAAATGCGCTCGAACTCGCCTTGTTCATCCACTGATTCGAATTTCCCGCTGTACGAGCGGTAGCTTCTGATTGGTCGACTGTACGATGGCATATGTGAAGGAGTGGGTTCTGGAAGTCTGAGGCCCATTTCTCACAGACCGGACATCTGGCAGAGACGAGGCGGGGACCTATGTCCCTGATGTCCAAATATCGACAAAATGAAAATACTCGCCTTGTTCATCTACTGATTTGAATTTTCCGCTGTACGCGCGGTAGCTTCTGATTGATTGACTGAATTACGGCAAAAGTGGCGCAGTGGGCTCTGAAAGACTAAGGCCCAATCCACACAGAATAGACGTCCGACACAGAGACGAGGCGCGGACCTTCGTTTCTTCCGAGTGAACTGGGCCTAAGGTCCAAAAATCGCCAGAATGAACCTGCTCAAATTTGCACGTATTTTTCCATGAGGAATGGCTCAGAACTCCTAATAGCTATGTTACTTTAGTGCCTTCTTGGCATCGTCTCTGTTCCTTCTCTGTCGATGAGTTTTGCATTTATTTCCCTTTCATTTGATGTGCAGCGCATCGAGATTCAACTATCATTAACGAAGATGACATGTTGTGCCATCTTTGTGTTTCTTCTGTCGATACATTCTGCATTCGTGTTCTTTTCATTCGACTTGATTTACGTGACGATTTGACATTTAATAACGATAAACGGTTTAGTGCCCTTTTGGTTGCCTCTTTGTTTCTCTTTGTTGATAAATTCAACACTCATCCTTTCGTTTGACGTGCTGCACGTGACGATGCGATTATTATTAACGAAGATGTAACTTGGTGCCCTTCTCACATATTGTATGTCATCTTCGTTTGTTTCGTCAATCAATTCTGCATTCTTTTCCCTTTCAATCGATGAACTACACATGACGATGCGACTATTGTTAGCGAAAATACGGCAATCATCATTGTTGTTTTTGTTTGTCGATGAATTCTGTATTCCTTTTTTTTTCATTTGATGTGCTCCACGCTGAGATCGCACAATTATTAATGAAGATATGGCTTAGTGCCCTTTTGGTATGTCATCTCCTCTTATTTATCTTCATAGATGAATTCTTTCATTTGATGTGGCTAAATATGACGATGCGACTATTATTAGCGAAAATACGACTTAGTGCCCTCTCGGCATCATCTTTGTTTTTTTTTTGTCGATGAATTCTGTGTTTGTTTCCATTTCATTTTATGTTCTGCACGTTGAGTACAAACTACTATTAACGAAAATACGGCTCAGCGTCCTTTTCTGTGTCAACATCTTTTACTTTTCTTGATCGATAAATTCTGCATTCATTCTTCTTTCATTCAATGTGCTTGACGTGACGATGCAACTATTATTAGTGAAAATACAACTTAGTACCCCCTTGGGGCACTAAGTTGTATTTTTGTCTTTGTCGATGAGTTCTGCATTCGTTTTTATTTCATTTGATGTGCTG